CCTTGGAATTTAACTGTTTAATTATAGAACATTTCAGTAATTGTTTGTATTGTTAGCATTACTACTGATATGCCCGGATTATTCAGAAGTTCAGAATGGGTTTCTAAGGTCATATTTTATACGATTTATGTAGAGAAGCATCTTATTTTACAAAAACATTTCATTGTTTTGTAAAGAGAAATTATATCAAAATTATTGTCATTAATTAATTATTAATTAATTAATTATTGTCATTATTATTGTCATATATATAATGTTTCTAAATATGTATAGCCTTAGAGGAGTATAAGATTTGTTTTTATAGTTTGCATTTTAATAATTTAATAGAAACGAAAGGGTTCTCTTTAATCCTTTCTGTACTTATTCAATAATTAATGTTATAAAAAAAATAATAATGTTAATGATTTTTTATTTTATAAATGTAAGGTTTCAAATATTTTAATTTAAATAACTTACACCTGCTCAAAAATACAGGCTCGGAAGATTCACTAACCAAGTAAGCCAATGGTTACTTATAACCTTAACTATTTAATGTATATTTATTGTTTAACTTAGATAATTTAACTTTATATATATATGTATTTAAAATTAATAGATATACATGAAGAAAGCAAATAGCTAATAAAAATAAAAAATACTATATTTTGGAAAAAGTCTCACGAAGCTCACTGTAAGAAAACGACTCCAATTAATCATAAGCAGAAGAGAACTCATTATGAAACATAAAATATAATATATAAAATATATGAAGTAACTCTTATAGAAAAATATATACAAAAATTATAAAGTTTTAATGTAAAAGACACTCAAGCAAAGTACATAAAATAATTGCAAAATATATATTTAAAAACACCTTAAAAACTGAAAAGAAATTAATTAGCACATTTTAATAAATAAATTTATTTATTATCTGTGCGTATACAAGTTTGTATATAATATAGTTTTAATACAATTTATTAACTTATTTAAAATACATGTAACTGATATTTATCTTTCTAATAGTTTAACTATTTATTGATATATATTATATAGTTTATTAATATAGAATTGATTGTAAACAAAACCTACAAACAAATTTTGAAATAAATCTTAACGTTCAACACCAAAATTATTAAATATCTTTTCCAACACTTAATCAATAAAAGTAGGATTTTTTTTTTAAAGCGCATATAACACCTACACGAGTATCTAAAAATACAACTCTGTAATAAAATATTTAAAATCAAAAGAATCAAATAAAATACATAGTAAGATTTAACCAAACTTCCATAACTTGAACTTCTATAACTCAAATAAAAATATTGTCCCGTGCCAACAGGAACGTGGGAAAGTACATTCTATAAGTCGAATTTTTTGTTTTAAGTATGAATCCATGTTGGTGTTGGGGGAAGTCCCTTTTTCCAAATCAAATGTTTAATTTTTTTTCCTTATGTTGCTTCTTTGTGCAAATCCCAGTCGCTGACAGCGTGGTTTAAAGTAAATTAAATAACTTCCAATGTTTTCTTAAAGATTATATTGAGCTTGACAATGAAATTTGTACATCAAGCTTTCCTAAAGATGACAATCCAATTCTAAGTGCAACGGAAAGCGATGATAAGGGTTCGGTGAATGTAATTGTTCATCAGCCTTTCAAGAATGAAGTAGAAGATTCATTCAAAATTCTGAATTTATATTTGCAAAGGAATGATACTACAATAGATGATCACTATAAGAGTATGAATATAGTGGAATCTCTTTTTACTGAAAATAAAAAAATTACAGTCCCAAACCCTAATTTCTGAATATTTTACTTCAATATAATTTCTGTGCTTTATTTGATTGCAAATAAATAAATATCTTAAAATGTGATTGTAGTTTTTTTCAAAAATAAATAATTCTCTAACTCGAAGGCTCCATATCTCAAACGTTTTCTATGCAAAGTGGTACTTCGAGTTATGGAAGTTTGGCTGTATTTTAGTCTGTATCAAAACTAGAACAGAACATTGTCGAGTGAGTAAACTGGAACTGGAATATAATTTTGTTAGTAAACTGGAACAAAATGATTATGTCAACAATAAATAGTTTTGGAATCAAATGAAGAACATTCAATGGATCGTTTCTATGAAATGATGTCTATATGCGATCAAACCATTCAAAAAATATTTTTAACGCAAAGATAATATGAAAAATAGCAATATTATTATTAATTATTATTATTAAAATTATTAACGTGAAATCGACCAACAACCAGCGCTGCGGCCAGAAGAGTCCTATTGTACCAATTTAACTATTGTTCACAGAAAGCCCTTTAAAGCTTTGTGAATAAAGTCTAGAACTAAGTCTAGAGAAAAGCTCTTAATCAGTTCTGGTAACAAAAATTCCATAAGGAAAAAGTTTCTTCTCTGCTAGTAGTTTCCTCAACTTCGAGGCATAATCTATATTCCGCATTAACAGATAATCATAGTTTATTTAGATGATATGTTCCGTAATGGAACCTGTTATCAACCTCAAATTACGTCTTAAGAATTTAAGAATGTATTTGTATGAGTACGGTTTGATCAGTGTTTTGCCTTTGTCTAAAAAAATAGCGATTTAATATTAATATTATATATAGTATTTCAAAACATATATGATAGCTACAGGTAGACTTTACTTACTGTACAGAAAGTAGTAGTTTGTAATGACATTTAGAACCATTAAAATCTCCCACAAATTTTTAACAACGGCTTGCATTAAATAAACAGGTTCGGAGGCTGGTACATAGAGACAAATCAAAAGTATCTAGGTTGATATCTGTTCTAACAGGGTACTAAACTATAGAACGGCATGAAGGTGAGGCTCGGCACTACCTTTTTGTGTTTTTTAACACATTTTCTTAGATTTTCTTTTCTTAGATTATCGGTTTTAAGTATCCTTACTCTTTATTTAAATATAATATACAAATATAACACATATCTTCCGAATAATTGCACAGCTCTTTGGATAAACTTTACACATATTTTTTTAGAACAATTTTACATCAACACTTATTGTAGATATTGGAATAAACGATAACGTAACGATTGAATGTAATGCAGATTTCAATTTGTAAATTTGGGGTAACTTTTCTAATCGAAATTCACTTTTAGTGCACTCTTCATTTTCCGATTGGGAACGTGTATAACACTTGAGATTAATTTATAACAATCTAGATATTTTAGTAGAATTTTGCAAGATTATCCTATTTTATACGGCTTGACAGATAGAGTGTGATTGATTTGACATATGTATTTTTGAAGAATATAAATGACTACTAGGAATAAACAAGGTACCAGCTCCTACCAGAACGAAGCACTGCGACCATGGTTGATCTATTGTCCTGTCTACTAACATAACTACAAAAATATCAAATGCACTCTTAAAACTTTCGATTGGACAACAAAATTGGACTGACCGAGAGTAAATCTAGATTGAATCCAGATTGAATAATCGAAAACGCCATAAGATTTATAAGATAGATGCATTAGAGCTTCCTAACCAATTGCCATCATTTTTACCAGAGCACTAAAGAAGAATTCTAGAAAACTTACTCAAATTTACTTAATTTAATTTATTTCATCGCAGACAAATTCGAAATAATCGCTTGATTATAGTAGCATACCTAAAATGAAGTATTATATCAAGTGGAATATATATTATTGTTAAAGCAAAATCTTCAATTAATTGCATCTATCACCGACTTCACTTCAGTCCCTTTTACACTTGTAAGATAACTTTCTTAGTATCCATTTCCCCTAGTGGGCCCAGGGCCGCAATGATTCTCTTAAACCGCACTTTGTTAGGTGTTTCTCTGCATATATCGTTCCATATATAGTGCGCTTCTGTCATTTCTCTTTCTATTGTTCTTCTCCAAGTTAAAGCCGATGCACTAGGGCGTCTGCTGCCTTGTAGGTTCCATGTCAAAGCTTGTCGTGGAATGTATTTATTTGGTCGTCGGATAGTATGTCCTATCCATTTCCATTTTCGCATTTTTATTTCGGTTTTATTTTGGTAAGATATATACCTATATAAATAAATAATTGAAATTGAATTAATTACAATCGTAACCAAATTATAATGCAAAAAGGTGCTTTAAGAAACTGTCAAGCCTTGCATAGATCGATCTCAAGCTTAACTAAAAAGCTTGAATTTTTCATTAATACAACTTTTGTAATATTTCTCAAAAAGGTTTCTACACTAAACCGCTTTACTAACTGGAGTATTATCTTTGTTTAAATATATATTCCCAATAATCAACTAATCAGTGATTTATCAAGCAAAAAAAACTTTCCTAATTGTTTAAAAGTTATATCATAGCAATCTGCTTAGATTCATTATAATTCAATCTACAACTGAAATTCAAATTTTTTTTCAAGATAAAAATTAACTTCCGAAATGTTTACCTTTTACCGGATCTAAATTTAGAACTATTAACAATAGAAAAATTTCCAAATTTTAGTTATAGAAGGAATTCTTATGTAGTGTTGTGTGGTAATTAACTCTATAATTTTTAAACAAAAAATATTAAAAATAAATTATTTTTACAAAATACTTTTAGATCAATCATTAGTAATATGCCTTCACTCCTTATAGCAGCCGCAAATCAAGATTCGGCTCAGAAGACAGCTTCTCTATTTTCTGATGCAGTATCTAATTTAGTAAATGTTAAATCAGGACCTACTAAAAGACGTTTCCGCATTTGTGGCAAGGGCAAGCGAAAAAAATCAATATTCAAGGTTCACAGAAAACGTATTGCCCAAGAAAATATTATAATACACCCATCTGAAATTGCCATGGAACCTAATACACGCGGTAGACCAACTCGCTCCCGCCGAAAACGTCAAACTCGCAGTTCTCGTCTTTTAGGAGGTACTCACACTGCACAATCAACAGAACAGGGCCCCGCTTTTCTTCATGGACACCCAATTCTGCAGAATTTATTTGCGGTGTTCATAATTATAATGGGTTTCATCGCATCGTTTTTCGGTAAATTTATTTAAAAAATTTGTGTTTCGACACACTTGTAGTTTAACGGTACATCTCAAATAAAATATATCCGCATTAACTAACTTACTTTATTATTATTTATCAATTATATTATTTCTTCAATTTTCTTTTGTTATTTTTTAGTTTCGCATTTTATTGTGATACCTTTTTTAAAATTTTGCAAGAGAAAACAGTATGGCTACGACCCTGTGCCTGTGGATTCTGGACTTTTCTTAATGCCAGTCACTCTTTGAAAGTCTAGACACACATCAAAATGATTGAGCCGCAAATAATGAACAGGTACATGTAATCGAAATATTTTTAATTAATGTTAAATTATTTAATGTCAAAAGTTATCAACCTTTTATAAGTTATAAGTTTAACGAAATCCAATAATACAATACGAAAACTTAATGTGTCCTTAATGTGACACGCAGGGAGAGAGGAAATAACATGCCTCCCTAAAACTTCACCCTGCAAAACCATAAATGACTGTGACTTGATTTATAATCGAAAGAGAATTAGGAACTTATAACACAAAATATAAAACATATAGTATATTCACGTATATATACTTCTTGAGTACTTCATTAGTCAACCTCCAATCTATGGATTTTGCTCGACTAAAACTTGGTTTTCTTTCCAGTTGTTACTAAATGATAGTCTAGCTTAGTATAATCTAGCTCTGTAAATAAAAACATAGGGTCTTATTTTTCAGTTTTCCTTTTCTGATTCTACGACCTTTTACATTATGAATCAATGAGAAATTCATGTTAGGCCCATTCTAAATTAAGCAGTTATTTTTTATATTATAAAAATTGCACCTACTAAATTACTATCTCTTGTATTGCGACACATTTGTTTTGGAACATAATACTTTCTGAGACTACACTTTTGTGCTCTATTTACTTTCTACTTGAAATGCAAAATTTTAAATGAGAACCTTATCGTTCATTTATTTCCAAACAGAAAACAGTCTGTAATCAGCCGCGCTACGAGTACTATTGGAAACGATTTAGGTTCAGTAAATTTAAATTTAACTAAGAATTAATTTTAGCTGTTAGTGCTTAAGTTACTTAACCTATTGAGATTTTGAAGTATACAAATTCTGACAAAAAAAAAACCATGCCAAAATTAATACCCACAGTTAAACTTAATAATGGCCAACATATGCCATCTATTGGTTTTGGTACATGGCGCTCTAATGAATCTGACGCAGAACGTTCAGTTAAAGATGCGATCGATATTGGATATCGTCATATAGACACCGCGTTTATGTATGAAAATGAACATGAGGTTGGAAGCGCCATTAACGCCAAACTTGCAGAAGGTGTAATTAAACGTGAAGACATATTTGTTGTCACTAAATTAGCTGGAGTGCATCATAATCCAGATATAGTAGAGCATGCTTGTCGCACAAGTTTAAAAAACCTTAATTTGAGTTATATTGATCAATATCTAATACACTTTCCGGTTGGCCAAGAATACGTTAGTGACGATAACTTATCTGGACCAGTGTCTAATGTGGATTATGTAGATACATGGCAAGCAATGGAGAAACTGGTTGATTTAGGTTTGGTACGTGGAATTGGATTGTCTAACTTCAATTCTGATCAAATACAACGTGTACTTGATATTGCTCGTATTAAGCCAGTGGTCAACCAGGTGGAATGTCATCCTGGTTTCAATCAAAAGAAATTAATTGAATTCTGCAAGAGAAACAACATTGTTGTAACTGCGTATTGTCCGCTTGCAAGACCCAAGCCAGCACAGCAATGGCCTCCATTTTTGTATGACGGCACCGCACAGAAATTGGCGGAAAAATATGGAAAGACATCAGCTCAGATTTGTTTACGTTACTTAATACAAATCGGCACGATTCCAATTCCCAAATCTGTCTCCAAGAACCGAATCGCTGAAAATTACGATGTTTTCGACTTTAAGTTAACAGAGGAAGACATTGGAATCATGGATCAATATCACAATGGACTTCGCACAGTTACTTATAGTGGACTATCACAACACAAATATTTTCCATTTAATACAGAATTTTAATATATTTTCAAAGTTTATATCACAAGTATAGTGCTGGAAATTATTTTCTAATAGAATTTATAAATATGTAGCAAATAATATATAATGTATATGAACCAGCTTATTTGTTATCATTTATTTACATGACACTTAAGTGACGTTAACACTCTTAAATGAAATTAAACATAATATAATAAATTCTCTACTTAAATAAAAACTAAATATATACATATGTATATAAATACATACACATACGCTATAATAATATTAGGAACTTACTCAATATGATTTAATCAAGCCACTTAAATCATAGTAAGGAAATCTGAAGACGGCTTGTGAAGATACTAGTATATTCGGAGTGATGTTTCATTCTAATATTAAAATGCTCTTTGGAGTATCAAGTGTATAGTAAACACTATACTAAATTATTTTAAATAAATAGCAATATATAGAAATCTGGTCGAATTAAATTTTCGACTCCGCATTTTCTATAAACAGACACAGAACATAAATGATACTGACTTCTTTCAGTACCAGCAGATTAAATATCACAATAAATCTATTTCAAGTAAATTTAATACCTGAGCTAAGTTCAAAATCAATATAACCCAAGCCTGTACAGGTTTCGTCTTCAGGCTGTCAATAGCGTATACAGTGACTCATTTAAGGGGATTCTGAAAACTAACTCAATAGAATCCATTTCTTATTTTAAGTGGTATTCAAAGTTCACCAAAGTGAATATGGAAAACTATTCGCTTAAAAACAGTAATAATATTTAAACGAAAAGTCATATCACATTGCTAATGAGCGAGAATCATATTCCAAAAGCTTCAAAAAGCTTTCAAAGTGGGTGCTAAATATGTCTCAACAGACGAGTAACAATAAACTACTTTCTGTCAACAAACAATATTATGAACCTCTTAAAGTCCATATCACTCGACAATTAAAAGTTTGAAGTTATGCAACTTAAGAGACGATTGTGAAATAGTACTCCTCCTTGGCAAACAAACTTCACACTCTAGAATTTTCCTATCAAAAAACAGAATTCATTAACTAATTCACCAGTTTAGACAATACAATGACGGAAAATATTAATAATAATAAGACTGTCACAATAATAGGACTATAATATAAGACTGTTAAAATTGATTGAATATATCGATATGATATTGGTTTTTATTATTTCATATAAATGCTCATCTTTGGATATTTTAAAGATTCTGAAATAGCAATATTTAGCCATTTTTAATATAGACCCCTAAAGGACCCTAATATTCCATATGATTCTAAAGAAAGTCTAAGTTCTTCAATTCTTCTTCACGACACAATTCCGTGACGTGACTAAAATCATAAGATGGCCCTAAAATTCCATATGATCCATAAGAAATTCCAAGTTCTTCAGAACTCTTCTTTGAAGAGCTCTTCAACATTCATCCGTATTTTGATTTACAGTATCAATAGTCTCACAAATATTATTTTTTGGCCAGATATTTTTAATTATTCGCACTTTACAAATAATAATCTCTGAAGATCAGTGTTGATCGATCATAAATTTGTGTTGATCATAAATTTGTCGAAATTAATAAAACTATTCAAGTAGATTTCATATTTTTGTATTTAATATTGTTAATTAAGCTCTATAACTATATATACATAGTACATTGCGGATAAAGACATTAAATAAAGACATTAATTTCATTGCAATATAATTAAATTCTGAAATTGAATACGTATATTTATTAAAGACACATCCCTAGAAAATTTTAATTGAATTTGTATTTCACCAAGAGTCTACACCATATAATATTTCACACAAATATAAGCTTATTCTTTGGTCTACATTATCTATTTTGGATTTGAGTTCAGTACATTGAATGTTATATGGCGTTTACATTGGCCGAAAATGGCTCATTTTGAATGAGCCATTTGAAAGTGTTTACATTCGTTCTATTTCATTTGTTCTCATTTCAACAGCTGATTTTTCAAGTTGCATGTTGGCACAGGCCAAAAAAATGTTGCATGAAGGTTAAATATGCCTTCAAACCTTACATTAGAAACTTAAAACATATTTTTAACTTCGATTAATTACTTTTTGGGAAGTAAAAGTTCTAAAAAGAGGTGCATCGTTTTCAAGAAAATGCAACCACCAAACATTTGTTTACCTTTTTTTGTAAATATGTTAAAAACAGCTTTTTCAAACTGTCATTTTCATTTAGGGTATGTTCAATGGATTCCTTTGCATTTGGAACGTATGTGGAATGCATTCGAACGTCATTCATACAGAATGTGAGAAAATTGCTCATTTTTGTGCTTGAAATTTTATATGCAAGAATGAGCCATTCGTTACTCATTTTCGATTTTTGACCAAAATGAGCCATTTTCGGCCAATGTAAACGCCGTATTATTTAATGTTATATGTTACTTATAATTACCGAAACTCATAAGCCCATAATCATGTGGATTTTGTATGAAAAACTATATTTATTGATTCACATTTGTTAAATTAATTGCGATAGTGTAAACATACCGATAAATGCCCAATACTTATTAAACCAATTTGTATAGATATAATTCTAATTATAACTGAAACTTAAACCTGAATCCACTGAGTTATACGGCATTTACACTGGCCGAAAATGGCTCATTTTGGTCAAAAATCGAAAATGAGAAGCGAATGGCTCATTCTTGCATATAAAATTTCAAGCGCAAATAAGATCCATTGGATCTCATTCTGTTTAAATGAGTTCCAACGAAGTTAGAATGAGTTCCAAATATGTCCCAAATACAAAAGAATACATTGAACATACCCTAAATAAAAGCTTTTCATGGCATTTTGTCAGTTTAAGAAAACGGTTTTTGACATATTTACAAAAAAAAGTAAACAAATGTTTGGTGGTTGCATTTTCTTGAAAACGATGCACCTATTTTTAGAACTTCTACTTCCCAAAAAGTAATTAATCGAAGTTAAAAATATGTTTTAAGTTTATATTGTAAGGTGTGAAAGCATATTTAACCTTCATTCAACATTTTTTTGGGCCACAAGCCAAAAATCAAATCAACAGGCAAGTTGAAAAATCAGCTGTTTGAAATGAGAACTAACGAATTACAACGAATGTAAACACTTTCAAATAACTCATTCGAAATTAGCCATTTTCGGCCAAAGTAAACCCCATACTAAGTGTGAATCTTGTAAATATTTGTCACCCAATTAAATAAATTGCAAAAAATCAATTCATATGGATTTTTGTAAAACACCACACATTTTTTATATATAGTTATAATTTTTTTTATATATTAAATCTTAATTTTTTTATGCGAAATTGTAATGATGGAGTAAAAAAGAAAACTTCTTTGAAATAAAATTGTTGTAATGTATGTTGTACCTTGTGATCAAAAAAGAACTTTAATTTTTAATTTTTGAATTCCCGCGCTTATCCAATCGGTAAAGTTTTTTTATTCTCACTTTTAACCAAAAATAATAAATGAGTGCAATAAATAAATTAATAATATTTATAATATAATATTTGTATTAAGTAACGTATTAAGTATTAAGTAATAATATTTACATAAGTGCAGTGCAAAAAATCTCTAAGTAATTTCAATTTACTTTACCTGAATTTACTCGAATTCGCACAAGGCCTATATATAAAAACTAACTTTATGAATCCAAACATGAAATAAAAGTTGAACGAAAGAAATGTGTCAGTGTGAACAGCAGTGTTCGTTTAAAATATATAAAATATGTATTAGAAAAAATGTTTCATGTGTCAGTCTGAACAACACCTTAGCGGTGTTTATTTACACCTGTGGCAATTATGTTGAATTTGTGTGGACATTCCAAAACAGTTCCATATATTCGAGACCTATGTATGTATATTATAATTCGCAAATATGAACCGAATTATTTTCTATTTGTAATAAGATCAGTAAAAAATTAATTATAATAAAAAATTTTATTAACATATTTTTACGTATGTTAATTAAAGAAATAATTTTCCATTGTAAAAATTATATTTTATGTATGTATATGCGAATTTAGTGCTTGTTTCTTAAGTTACGCATTAATTCCGCTCCTGTACATTTTTTTAAATTTGTGCTTTATTCTGTTTCTCCAAACAGCTGTTTTGGGATGACATCACAATTGTGTTTTCCATGTTCAATTAAAAAAACGTTCAAGCTTGCGGTAGCTGTGCTGCGTTGAGGCCGATCTAATCTTGTAAATAAAGTTTTGTATTTTTTTATATGTAATTTGCAAGTTGATAACTTTTTTTCATTTTTCAGGTAGTGATAAGACGAAAGTCTATGCAAATAATATTTTGGAACATTTAAAGGTCAACACATTATGCCGCAAATAGCACCTACACTTAAGTTGAATAATGGCCAAGACATGCCAACTATCGGCCTTGGTACCTGGCGCTCTTATGAGTCAGACGCAGAACGTTCCGTTAAAGATGCGATCGATATCGGATATCGTCATATAGATACTGCTTTTGTGTATGAAAACGAACATGAGGTTGGAAGCGCCATTAATGCCAAACTTGCAGAAGGTGTAATTAAACGTGAAGACATATTTGTTGTCACTAAATTAGCTGGAGTGCATCATAATCCAGATATAGTAGAGCATGCTTGTCGAACAAGTTTAAAAAATCTTAATTTGAGTTATATTGATCAATATCTGATACACTTTCCGGTTGGCCAAGAATACGTTAGTGACGATAACTTATCTGGACCAGTATCTAATGTGGATTATGTAGATACATGGCAAGCAATGGAGAAACTGGTTGATTTAGGTTTGGTACGTGGAATTGGGTTGTCTAACTTCAATTCTGATCAAATACAACGTGTACTTGATATTGCTCGTATTAAGCCAGTGGTCAACCAGGTGGAATGTCATCCTGGTTTCAATCAAAAGAAATTAATTGAATTCTGCAAGAGAAACAATATTGTTGTAACTGCATATTGTCCGCTTGCAAGACCCAAGCCAGCACAGCAATGGCCTCCATTTTTGTATGACGGCACCGCACAGAAATTGGCGGAAAAATATGGAAAGACATCAGCTCAGATTTGTTTACGTTACTTAATACAAATCGGCACGATTCCCATACCGAAATCTGTGTCTAAGAACCGAATCGCTGAAAATTTCGATGTATTCGACTTTGAGTTGAAAGAAGAAGATATGATAATTATGGATAAATATCACAACGGGCGTCGCACAATTCCTTTTAGTGGACTATCACAACACAAATATTTTCCGTTTAATACAGAATTTTAATATATTTTGATATTTTTTAAAAAACAAAACAATAGATTTAGTATACAATTTGTTGGAATTGGTTTCAGAAATTCTAAATTTCAAATACAGCCTGTGTAATTATAAATTACTTGTACCTTCTCATCAATAAATAGATTATTTTAGGCAAATAGTTGTTATTATTGTATATATTGAACTTGCAATAGACTTGAAAGAAACTGCTTTTTTGAAATCAAATCTTATTTAAAATTAATGGAAACATTTTAATGCTTCTATAGATGCATGGCTGTAAGCCAAGTATAAAACTTAAATATTGAAAAGTATTTACTTATATCATTAGTGTCCAACATAAGTAAAACTATACTAAAAGCTTATAATAAAATTCGACTCATTGTTGTACACGTCTGAAGTCCCTTTACATATGTATGTAAGTAAGGACAACATTAATATATCATGGAGTGTTCAGTCAGTCAGTCACAAATATTAAGCACCTTTGTTTCTGTCCAGTGCATAACTAAAGAAAAATTACAACTGACTTTTACCAGCTGCAGGATTTCCAATTTGTTGCTAGCGGTACTCTATTAATGGTTTTACAATTGGTTATATTTAAGACTTGATTCAACAGGATATAAACCCTAAAATTGATCAATAACACATTTACACTGTCACATTTAGGCGATTTTGCTCATTATAGCCACTAATGGGGATGATTTACAATACTAAGCGCCTTTATATAAATGAGCTGATTATCAATAGATTATCTCATTTACGTCGAATGCAACCCTTAAAATACCCACAAGAAAAATTTGTTATGAACTGTTGAGCTATAAACAAAGGCACTAAAAAAGTAAGTATTTAATAAATCTTTTGTTGTTATTAATTGAATATGTAATTGATACATCAAATGTATATAAATGATTTAATATATCAATTATATATTTAATTTTTTTGTGTGAAACAATATTAAGTGAAGTTTATAAATGACCTCATTATAAAGTAAACGTTTACTCATTAAGATAAATTAGCAAGTGCTTAAATGAGACAGTGTAGATGTACTATTACTGAGTTCGTGTAATATAAAACGTCCTTATTTGGTTTTAACATGTCAACTGCTAAATTAGAGACTATCCATATTTCAGCGAAACTTAAAATACAAGTCAGTCTATTGATAAAGAACATATATCACGTTTATTTTATTTTAATTTATAAAATCCGATTCTAAAAACTAGACAATAAATTGCAGTCTTTTTTTAATATAATTAACAAATAATTTTTAAGTGATTAAGACATGGTTAAACTTTTAACAGGAGGGCTCGAAAGCCCTCCCTAGACGTGAAACTTTAGATTTGTTTATTAATTTAGGTGATATTTCTAAGGAACCAGTTAGGCCTTATATACCAATAAATATTTTATCTCTGTTTCATATAAATCTTATAACTACAATTTACCAAGAGCCATGGAAGCCAGGGCTGTAGGCGAAAAGGAGACCAACCTGATCTGTATAGCTTTGAAAGCCTTTAATTTGCTTTTTAAATTAAAAACTTGTTTACATTGCTAAATGATCAATTTGAAGTGAAGAATTTGCTCAGGGCGCCAAATTTTAAAACTCTCCACTGAATACGTAATTTGTAATATATTGTAATTTATATAATTACAAATAACATAGAACTACATATAATTGCATTATTTAACTTCATAATTTAAATATATTCTAATAACCATAACATATTTTTATCAACAAATATGAATCAGAAACGTGCTATAAAAATTATGAGTAATCCATTATATTCAAAAAATCGACAGGCAAAATGCAAAAGCGCAAAATTTATTGAAATTTTTTTTAATAAAATTAATAATTATATAAGTAATAATTTAATTGAAACATTTACAATAATTAATAAAATTCCAGTTAAATTATTTAAATTCTAAAGATTTGGTCGAAATGCAGTAATTCCAATTAGACCATATTTACTGGTCTAATTGTCGAAAATACCAATGCAAATATATTTGAAAATATTTTTACTTTTTTGTTGTGTCACGCTATTCGTGAAGATACATAATAATAGTGTTGCCAACTCTTAAAATAAATATTCAAAATTTGAACAAAAAGTATTCATCTTTGCTTGACAAAATTGAACAATAATTTTATTATATTGACTTTTTAATTGTATTTTTTAAATCTTATTGTATTTAATAAAAATTTATTAAAATATTGATACATTTAAGCTACTTTGCACATATAAAATGATTTGTAAACTTATGCCTTTGCACCACTCTTGTGTAATTACACAAACTGATATAAATGTGTATTTACAATCATTGTACAAAATTATATCTGCAAAAAAACGAAGTGCGTAAAAATGCTGTAGCTTAATTGATTAATATTTTACAACTTGAAAATGTTAATAAAAACGAAATAATTTGCCGTAAATAAAAATATAATAAAAAATATTTTTAATTAACAAATTGTTTGATAAATAAACTAAAAAAAAAAATAACTCTAATACCCGAAATTTGCGGCTATGTTTTATTTTTTATATTCATAGTTCAAGGTCAGTCGTACTCTTGGAGTTGGTAGTCGTCTACTGTAACGCCTAAATGGCGGCGGGTGATATGTCAACAATAGGCTGTGCTGCAGCCCTCAAGAAATCTTCAAAATCCAAACATAATAACGATAAAGACGCAGTCTCGCACAATGGACGCAGCGAAAATGGTAATGGCCAGTTTATAACATCAAATATAAATATGCGCGGCGGTTTGCGTGTTTATAAAATAGTCATACTCGGCGATGGTGGAGTGGGAAAATCGGGTAAGCTCACCTTTGTTATATTTTGTGTGGTTTATATAAACACTAAAAAATCAATAATTTCATTACATGTGTTGTACAAATATTTTTTTTGGATTGGATACATCATTTGTTTATGGATTGCTCCTACTACAGCTGTAACATTACAATTTGTAAGCCATAGTTTTTTGGACTACCATGATCCAACAATTGGTAAGTTATAAGTAGATAAGTAGTCCCTAAATATATTTCTCAGTATATTTGTTTTCTTTTAACATTTTTGTATCCGTCACATCAGTATCAGTAAAAAGTAAATCAATTTCCTTTTTGTATCCACAAAAAGAATCGTACCAAAGTTTAACAATTTAAAATAACTATAATTAATTTATTCAAATATTCTATAATTGATTTATAATACCATTCTAATGCAACACAGCAAGTGAATTTGTCAATTATCTTTCCCTGCAAATCAACAAAACTCCAAGTAAGAACAATAAAGTTGAGTACGGTTTTGGGTCAGTTGGTAGTTGGATCAATTGGGTAATAAACACTGACTCTGAACTTCAAATTTGGCAGCCTACGAGTTTAATCCTTGGTACTTACATTGTAAAATATTATTTACAAATTATTTAATATAAGAAATATTTCCAAACAGACCGCTGATGATGGGTATTTGGCAATACTTAAACAGCTTTATAGTCAGCCAAAAATCTAATTAATTAAAAAAATATGAATTTTGTTATAATTTTTTAATTAAAAAAATAGTTTCTTTCGTCATAATTGACTTCAGAAATTAAATTTAATTTAGTTTTGTTAACAATGAAGACCATATATATCAAATAATTCCTTCATAAGTCAAATCGATTTAATCGTCTCCAACAGTCCGTTTGTTTGAAATATACCATTTTATTCATCAACATCAGAGGTTCTAAAACTTAATTTTGTCTATCGTCCACTTTAAGAATTCATAAGTTTTTACTTCCTCCTTCACCATTTTATTTTTAACTTTATATGTTGAAAATCACCATCGTTCTTATTAAATATAATTTTAGTATGCCATTTAAGTCTTATCCTCTTTTTGATTTTAAACTTACATTTAAAATGAGACTTTCTATTTAATGGAAGCAATTAAAACGGAATTTTATAAAATCTGTATAGTCTCAACGTCCACCTAATTTTTTCTAGGCCCCTATTGCCTTCCTTATGGCTCCACAAACGCCCACAAATGGGCGTTATCGTCCACTTTGAGAAATCCGATACTACATTGTATACGGCATACAAATCCAACAGCCTAAAGTTTGTAAGAAGACTTACTACTTTGCTTTCCATCCATTTTACAAATAATAATGACTTATATTCTCTGTAAAGATGATATATAAATATCTCCCGTTTCTGATTCTAATCAGAAACAGTACTACTTGGAATAGTGTTACGATTACTTGTTCTGTTTAACATGATTTTATTTGGCTTTGTTTCAAGTCATATTGCAACAGAAGCGAATTGGAAAAACTATGATCCGCACCAAAGCAATTGATTTGTTCGGTCAGTTAGAGCAAAATTACTCTCTCAATACCATGTCAAATTCCATGTGCACATTTTTTCGATATATTTTTCAATGATTTATTTGAATCGGTAAGCAGTAGGTTTGTAACATCTTAACCCACTATTTAAGTGATATATATTTTATTAACTGTTTCATAAAGTGATGACTTTTTTATTTCAATATATGTGCTCCGCAGTGTTTTTCTAATTGTTTTTTTCATTCTTTCTATTCAAGTGTGACATATCCAATCGTATATGCCTAATAATTTATGTTGTTTAGTTCGTCATTATTGTTGATGTCTGGTATAATCCTTTAAATTTTTTCCATTTCATTACATTACTTATAAATGGTACACCCACTTTTGTTTTAAGCCGGTAATAATATTAATTACTAGTAATAATTTAATTTCTGATTTTCTGTTTGTTGATGGGGCTCCCTTCAACGAAGTTGGAAAGCTAGAATTTAGTCGATCTGAATCATTAGTCGATTTATAAAGCAGATTTCTATCAATATATCTTTATTCTGTCTATCATCCCTTGTTATCCTATAACATGTTGTGATCTCTTTTTATAGGTGACACCCTCTTAATGGTGACATTCAAATTAACAGTAAGAAAAAATACAATTTATCTTCAATAAATTCTTCTTTAGAAAGCTGCAGAGATGCTTTTTTATTTCGTACTTGTTTTCTGCGGTCAAAGTATAATACTGTTTTATAATAATTCTGGAACTTAGAACTAAAAAGAGTATATATAATTATTTTAGACTGCATTCTGTACCTAAAGAAACTTATATTTTTTCCAAATGAAGTTTGAACGAGCACCAATTTTATGGGGATTGTCTTTGTTTGACGTATCTGAAAAGAGTATTAGATTCTTAACTGCTTCTCATTTTTCTGTGCTGGTATTCCACCGGCATTTTGCCTTGTACTTTGATATTAATTACCCTTACTTTTTTGTTTGATATAGATTTCTGACATTCCAATGTACAAATGGAATACTTCTATATAATGTAAATATCAATCATCATTAGAAATGGAGACTGGTATGATAATTGAGGCTAAATATTTTGATAAAAAAATTTTTATTAGATAGGTGCCTTTGAGATGTAGTTTAGTGATTCACGGATCTCGTCTAACAGCTTTCGTTAATAGAAAAAGCGTGTATAAAGATAATAAATATTAAAAAGATAATAAAGATAATAAATATTAATGATATTAGTACTATTTGAAAGATTTCTTCTAATTTTTCTATAATCAGACTCTAGTATCTATGATCTGACCGAACAAGTACCTATCCGAACATTCACATAAAATTTGACTAGACAATCTGTGCTATTAAATACCAAGTTAGCAAACAGAGCTTTGTCTTGTTAAGAAATCAAAAAAGATCAAAATTTTAAGAACTTTATTATATTGACGTATAGCCCACTGTAAAAAATTATTCTTAGTATCTTTACTAAAATCTTAAGTCCACCTCAGGACGCACAGGAAGATATGCTGATCTACGGTCCGTCATCAGTTAGAAAATAAATAAATGATAATGATTCTAGTATAGTTAAAGTTTAGTGTGAGTAAAAGAGTAAAATAAAATAGAGTAAGTAAGAATGCGCAATAGCACTAACTCATATCACAACAACAGCAACAACAATTTACTAAAATCTGTCATCAATTTGCCCTGCCCGGACAATTGGAATTGTACCCATTCATCAATTAAAAACAATGTCTTTGCTATTAACGTCAAACCATCAGTGGATAATTGTTGTTGTAGCCAATAGAACCCTAAAAACAAGTACAAAAATGGATCACAAACTTACATAAAAGGAACAGAGAGGAATGGGGAGGTAGTTGGTATGGTATGGTTCTAAGCGGAGTTACATAGGATAAGGAAGAAGATTAGAATCTTATCAGTTTATTTTAATGGAAGATGTCTGAGTGTTAAATGAAGATGAGCAAATTCTAATTCGCCTTTAAATATATTTTTTCAAAAAATTCAATGATTTATTTATAATAAAAATAAATATATTTTTAAAGCCGGTTTTGTTTTTTGAAGAATATTAACTTTTATTTGGAGTGTTAATTTTTTGAATATTTCTATACGTATTACGGCAAATTCGCTTTTGCCTTCATCAGGAGAATTCCTAATATGTTCTAAGATATATTTATATAAAATAATATAATTTATATTATTAGAAAGATTTGAGTATATTATAGTTCATCAAATATACTTTTTTTTTTCTCAAACATTTATCAATAATATATTTCAATTCTTGCAGAGGATTCTTATCAGCAACAGGCTGTTATTGATGGAGAAGCCGCTCTTCTAGATATTCTAGACACTGCTGGCCAGGTTGAGTTTACTGCAATGCGTGATCAGTATATGCGATGTGGTGAAGGTTTCATCATATGTTATTCTGTAACAGATCGTCACAGTTTTCAAGAGGCTACGGAGTATCGAAAATTGATACAACGGGTACGACTCTCCGAAGATATACCATTAGTTTTGATTGCAAATAAACTTGATTTGGAATCTCAGCGTAAAGTATGAAAAAAATAAAACATTAAAGAGCAGTATACGTTATCTATACAATTTTTATTTTAAAGGTGACTACAGAGGAAGGCAAAAATCTGGCAAACCAATATGGTTGCCCATTTTTCGAGACATCAGCTGCTCTTCGACATTATATTGATGAAGCCTTCTACACGCTAGTACGTGAAATAAGACGTAAAGAACAACAGAGGGTAAAAATTTTTTTATAAAAATTATTTATATTTTATTTGATTATATGTCACTAATTATTTATTTATACAGGCACTTGGTAATGGCACAAGTTCCGAAAAACTAAACTCGCGACGACGCAGCCGTTGGTGGCGTATACGCTCTATTTTTGCATTAGTATTCCGACGGCGCAGAAATTTGAACTAAAAAAACTAAACTAAAATTATATTTATTTAATATAAATTTATGTATATGTTGGTATATAGTTTAAGACTTCAACAATGCAACAAGTATAGTTTAGAAAAGTGTTATTTATAATTATAATTTTTGCTTTGACTATCTTAAATTTTGTTAAACAGGGTAATAACTATTTGAAAATACTTCAAGCTTTAGCACATACTATATATAAAACTTATTACTGAGAAAACAAGAACAGTTCCCAACAACAAATTAATTTCTGTTACCTACAGAATATATATATATATATATTATTTATTAGAAAATACAATTTATTAAAGTAGCTTAAAACTATTTCAATTAATTATTAGAACAAAAAAATTCTGAACGAAAAAATTTATAATCCAAATGATATGCACAAAAGTATAGATTTTTTAAAGTAAGAAAAAAAAATAATTTATATTTATAATAAATACAAAAAAATGTAACATGTCTTATTTGTTATTTTTTATAGAATTATTTTATTGTACAAATATTTAGCCTCCGCTTATAACTTATTTAGAAAAAAAAACATCAATGGCCAAATGAAGCTTTTTGTAGCCATGCACTTTCAAAATAAAACTTCTTACTAACTAATTTCTTAATTTTTGTAATATATAACAAACTACTATCCTGCTTATAACAATAATATAAGAAAGAAATTATATGTGATTAATTAGTTATATTAGCAAAATGTTGTCTAATAGCAATTATATGATTTATATTACATTTTTAATTATATTTAAATTGTTCAAAAATGCAGTTTGACTGTTAATCAACTTTCGAGACAATATTTTTGATAATTATTTAATTTTCAAATATTGAGCCAACCAAAAATGTATTTGTTAATTTCTTTATAAGATATTAGAAAATCAAAACAACTGAAATGGAAAATATTTAAGCAATATTGTTTTTCAACAGTATACAAATAAAAACAAAAAACAAAGAATCAAAAGTACCAAAACTCTTTAAAATATTTATACTAAAAGTTAATAAATAACTAATTAAAAATTTATATTACTACAACAAAAATATATATAAACAAAAATTAAAATAAAACTAAACTTAAAACATGCAATAGTCAATCAATAATTAAATTTTGTTTATTTTTCAAGAAAATTATGAAAAATTAAAATAAATTGAAGAAACTAAATCGGTTCATATATTAAATTAAATTTTTTTTAAAAAAAAATTTTAGTGGGAACAAATTAAAAGTGAAAAATTAATTTTCGTTTAAAGAAAAAATGCATGTCTTTGAAATCGATTTAAGTTTTAATAATATATTTGGTATATATAATACAAAACAAAACAAAAATACTTAAGTAATGTTAGCTTTAAATTAAAGTAGTACAATATTTGTTATATAGATATGTATAGGTTTTATTTAAATATATATATATATAGACATTTTTTTATTGTAATTTGTAAAATATATATTTTTTTATTTTGTTCTTATTGTTTGTAAATCGTAATCATTATTATTTTTAAAATAATATTTACGTGATATTGTTTGTTTTAAACAAAAAAGTTTTCATTATAAAATATTTATCGTTTCAATGTATAATTTATAGCATGTGACATTAAAAATAAATTCTTCAATATGAAAAATTGTATTTATACAAATGAATATATAAAACTGGCAATATTGACATTCATTCCTAATACATACATAACAGTTCCTTTCATTCATATTGTTGTTGTTAAGTTGTAAAATCAATATATTTTTCTTAAAAACA